AACAGTCTGCAGAATCCCCTCACTGATTACACTGTAAATGATAATCTACCTTAACCAAAATCAAAGTAGACTATCACTCACCCACACCAGATCGAAAACTCTACAGACTGTCGGTTCACACCCCATCACAAGCCAGCAAAACATCCACGAAACAAAGAAAGGTCTGTTACCCTGTATATATATATATATCGTCACAAACAGAACTGCCGGGTAAACCGTAGGCAGATATATATATATATCAAGCCGAATTTATCTACAAAAACTTGCTATTAGACTACTCTATATATATATATATATCGTCACAAACAGAACTGCCCGGTAAACCGTGAGAGACGGTTAACGGGGGCCCAAATATTCGCTGTTTTCGTTGGCAATTGCGGTGCAAATTTCATCAAAAATTTTAAAAACAAACGATATGAGACCATAGTGCAAACATCAAAAAAAGAAACAGGCAAAAACGAACAAAAAAAAAAACAAAAAAACACTATGAAACCCTAACACAAAGACAATGTCCGAGTCAAAATAAAGCGTCCAACGAATTCAAAAAAATGTCAACTTTTTCATTATTGATCCAAACATGACAATCTGCACACATGACATACCCTAAAGCACATATACATCACTCAAAAAGAAAAACAAGAAAAAAAGCAAAAAATCAGCACAATATGACAGTTTCAGTGCAATTCGGTGCAAAATTCGTCGAAAATAACACCCCTGGTTAACCACAGGTGGAGCCCTGTCCAGCAGGTGCCGCTCCCCACCAATAGATGGAGTTCCTCCCCGGGTGGTAGTGCAAAAAAAAAACGCTGAGCTGTTTGGGATCCTCGGAGACTTTACGCAAAGCATCTCACTTGATTCATGTGAAAAAATGGGTGTGTTTAATAAATTTCTATTATAGAGATAGACCGTGTCCCGACCCCCCAAAAAAAGGGGCCTGGAAAACCCCCAAAACAATTTTGGGAGCTCTGCTCCTCAGTGGAGAAGGGTCCTGGACCGTTCCTTTTCTTTTTTTTTCTTTTTTTTTTGCAGATCCGGAGCTTCCGGATCGGATGTCAGGAGTCCGGACTGATTCCAGACCGTCTGCACAGTAGTCCGGACGGCCGGGTCGTAGCCATGCTTTTTCTCAGGTGGCAGACAGAGACTAGTACGCCATTCCCCTTCCTACATGCAGGGGTGGGCAACTTGGTAGAGTCTCAGGGTTGGTACAATAACTGCGACATAGTTTGCGGATTATACCTGGTGACCTGGCTCCACCGCCGCCCATGCCTCTTTCCTTGTCTCGCAGCGTCGCTGTGCTCCTTACTCTGCGGTCCTTTTGGTCGGTACTAACCACGTAGCAGGGCTGGGTTGCAGGAGGAGACACTGACCATAGTTCTCTTTTCCTCTTTGAAAAGGGCCACAGTTGTGCCCCGCAACATAATAATTGCATTGACCGGTGATTGAACTTGCAATCCATTTATGAAAGTTTAACAGTAACTGTTACATGTGTGGGGCCACTTCGCCACAAGCCAGGTGAAGACCTGACCGCTCCCCCCCTCGACTGTCTAGGGAGCTTAGACATAGCTAATACCCAAAGCATCAAGGACCAGGATCCGAAAACCACCACTTGCTTCAACCTAGCTCATGATAAGCCAACCACCTGGCTACCAACCCATCCCCGACCATATTGTGGTTATGGTTTGCTATGAAATTCATGCGAAGGGAGAATTTGCCAGTGCAGGGTAATGGTGAGAGAGAGGGGGCGACCAGCATTGCAACAAGAAAGAATCCATGGGAGTAGATGTTCTCAGGGACGCTGGACCCGATTTCCAGCAGGTGCTGCTCCCCACCAATGGCCTGGAGCCACCCTCCAAGGGGCCTTTACCAAAGCAGCAAACAACCAGAATTGAAACACTTCACCGTTATAGCAAGCTACATGAAGCACGCAAACACACACACACACACACTTTTTTCACACGCACGGGCGTGTACACACACAGAGACAGAGAGAGAGAGAGAGAGAGAGAGAGAGAGAGAGAGAGAGAGAGAGAGAGAGAGAGAGAGAGAGAGAGAGAGAGAGATTGGCATAAATACTGTCAACTTTGGTCAGGTGGTCCAGTGAGATGGTTAGATATACAGATACAGCATCCCGTGGAGCAGTGAGGCTCATCTGTACGCTTAAAGGAAGCTTCATATTCACTAGGAGAGACGGTTGATCTGGCTGCGCATCGACGACTCTCATCCTGAGAGTTTCACAGGAAGAGACGGTTGATCTGGCTGCGCATCGACGACTCTCATCCTGAGAGTTTCACAGGAAGAAGAGGCCAGTGATCATAACGGCGGCGATCACGACGTCACCGTTACGGTAACAGTGACGTATCTCCATCCTAACGGCAATTGTACTGATCCGTCCTGCTAAAGGTAGTGGTGTGACGGATCCAATCTAACAGTGAGAGAAATGATACGACGTGAATATATATACCTATTATGTACATACATATAATAATCTATGTATATATAATGTATATGTACAATATTTGACGATATATAATATAGATCAATATGTGTGTATATGCATGTAAAAAAAATTGAAAAACTGGAAAAAGAAAAAATTCCAGTAGAACGATATCCTGATTGGAGTATTGAAGAACAGAAGGAAGAAAAAAAAGGACACATACTCCGGACTGCACGAAAATATAGCCCTCTCCTTCTTTTTTCTTTTTTTTTTTGGTCGTTCAACGAAATTTTTAGTCTTCTCCTTCTGAGGAGATTATCCGCAACCAATAAAAAAAGAGAGAGAAGCTTCTACGCGTGCTACCGTCTTCACCCGAACAGAACGCCCGGTCATTATGGCTGCATCTGGACTGTAAGTTGCCCCAAATACGGCTATTACAACCGCACGCACTCATCGAGTGAATACGGCAGTCTCGTGCGCCGCCCGTGATTTCTGATGATCTACTCTGCTGCTACATTAACTTCTTTTTTTTCAATAATTTGACTTTATTTACGAGCTAACAGAAATAAGGAACTTCGTTTCACCGACTGGCCAAGCTCAGTATACACGCCTATACTGTTGATACACCCCTAGACTGTTGATACACCCCTAGTCTGTTGATACACCCTTGATACACCCCTAGACTGTTGAGATACACCCCTAGTCTGTTGATACACCCACCCCTAGACTGTTGGTATACACCCCTAGACTGTTGATATACACCCCTAGACTGTTGATATACACCCGTAGACTGTTGATACACCCTTAGGTGTTGATACACCCCTAGACTGTTGATACACCCCTAGACCTAGACTGTTGATATACAGATCAGAGATCCAACTCCACTGGGGGCAGATAAGATACATTGCAATTTTATATTACTTGGGCGACGGCCTTGAGATATCATCAAACTGAGCGGCCCTGCGTAATTCAGAATGATTTAATTCTGGTCACCTGGTGCTGGTGGTGTCTAGATTCGAACTCTGGTCTGCATTTCAGACCAGGTTCATGGGTGTACCAACTGAGCTAGGCCCATTGGTAAAAATACTACTGAAACGGTATTCACCAATTCGCAGTACCTGATGCAGATCCCAGGGCTCAATCCCTAGTCCCCACCTTACCCGTGTACAGTATCTGTGTAGCCCCCGAGAGTACCGGCGACCTGTGTGTTTCGTAGGAGTCCAGCCAGGTCTAGAAGTCGTAGCTGTAGGCTTCTCGAAAGGTCAAGGTCGTAGCTAGTCCAGTCCTGAAGAGTCAAGGTCGTAGCTGCGACAGGACCGAAAGGCCGAGTCCACGGCCTTCCAGAAGGGCCCGGTGGTGGCCTTTCGGCTGCCCATGTTTAGGCAGAGGCAAGTGGGCAAGTGGTGGAAGTCCACCGTGCAGAGTCAGCAGTCCCAGTCCAGTCAGTCCGGGCCAGTCAAGCAAGTACCGCCTGGGACTGTGTGCACCGTGGGCCAGGGGAAAAGGGCAGACCGACGAGTCACAGAAGTATACATCAAGAGGCCGCGCACAGCCATTCATTCATTCCTGCGGAAGCCATGCGGAAGCGCTGTCTCAGCAGCTTGTGCGAGGAGGTCTGCAGTGACGCCCAAAGTCAAAATGGGCGAAAGAGACGAAGTGCAGCCATAGCGATAGGGTAGAGGCAGCCATCGCTGCCATAGCTGTAGTTTAGAGTGAAGTGTGTGTGCGTTGTGTGAGTGTTCAGAGTGGTGCGTGTGGGATATCCAGGGTGATCCGGTGTATGTGAACAGTGAGTTGTGGTTGCTGAGTCGCCATAGCCAGTGGAAGTGAATATCTCTGAGTTCTGAGTGGGCGCATGTCGCCAGTTTGCTGTGATGCTGTTTACATCATGAAAGGCGTGAATGAGACGAGTCTGATTGCACTACTGATAACAATACTGCAATTTGGAATTACGCTGGTCAGTTCAATGATGATATGACGATAGCTCAAGGCCATCACCATTTATTGAAAAAAAAAAAACAAAAAAAAACAACCTTTCTTTAAGTTTTTTCCTTCTTTTTCACAAAGGGCGCAGTGCTCAAGGCTGGATTACCCAAGCCCGGGCAACCGCCCCGGCGTCCCTTACAAAAAAGGGGACGACCAAGCTGGGCTGGGAGAAGCCATCACCATTTTAAAAAATAAATAAATAAGTAAAAAAATCACCTTTTTCAGAAAGCTTTTTAAACCACCAGTACTTAAACCGACTTAGCGTTAACGCTATGAGAATTTCGCTACCGGCTGGCCGTCGATAAATCCTATCGACAGCCCGCACCGCTTCAAAAAAGGTGCAGCCGCGCGCAGTGCCCAAGTACTGGTGGTTTAAAGTGTTTTTCTTCTTTTTTTCACAAAGGGCACAGTGCACAAGGCTGGATTACTCAAGCCCGGAAACCGCCCCGAAGTCCCTTACAAAAAAGGGGACGACCAAGCTGGGCTGGCCGGAGAGGCCATCACCATTTACCAAAAATAAAAAAATAAAAATATCCTAGGCTACCAGAGTGGCCCGGGGTCACTTGCCCAGCCGGGCCAAAAACATTAAAAAAAATAAAAATAAACATATATATATTTTTTAAAATTTTATTTTTTATTTTGAATTTGATGAAGAATTTCGATGTGACCCTGAGGCAAAAGTTGTTCAGTTCATTTTTCTGCATAACATTGTGGATTTTTTGGATTTTTTTTTTTTTTTTGGTGGGACCTTCCCTGGTCCTTGCACGGGCTGGCCACCCGGGACCCATGCGGCCCGGCTGGTAGCCTAGAAAAAATCACCTTTTTTTAAGTTTTTAAAATTTTTCTTCTTCTTTTTCACAAAGGGTGCAGTGCTCAAGGCTGGATTACTCATGCCCGGAACCCGCCCCCGGGCCGGCGTCCCTTATAAAAAAAAGGGACGACCAAGCTGGGCTGGGAGAGGTACTCCGGACAAACCCAACCAACCCTTGGCGGGCCAAACCAACCCTTAGGAAGAGCTTTACATTCAGCAACGAAACCCTAATTAAGTCTCTGCGCAACCAAAACCCTAATGTAACCCCTTCGGGACATCCGTTAAAATTGAACCACTACAGAGAAAATATTGGCCCATGTGCACGGATGCCAGATAAAATTACTAAAAAAATTCCCACCCTCCACCCAAAAAAAAAACTAAAGTACCTATCGAAGTAAATCTAAGCTCGTGAACTGGGGTGACTGTTGTGAGGGACGCTGAGCCCGCTTCGCAGCATATATAATGATTTCCAATTTTTGTTTTCAAAACGAGAGCAAATTGTCGAAATGCCCCTCAAATGTTCGGGTATTCGTCAGATAACCCTACAAGGGATTGGGCATGGCGAAACGTCCCTATGACAGCAGTGAAACATTGCGAACTACCCCACTCGCCAATTGGACCTGTCATCCTTCGCATATAACCCTACCAGGCCCTGGGCAACTTGTCTACATGGCCCCTTTTCTCTCTCTCTCTCTCTCTCTCTCTCTCTCTCTCTCTCTCTCTCTCTCTCTCTCTCTCTCTCTCTCTCTACCCTTAGGAGTAGTGGTAGTTAGTGAAAAGAAAGATATGTTCCATCTCTCTCTCTCTCTCTCTCTCTCTCTCTCTCTCTCTCTCTCTCGCCTTAGGAGTCGTGGTAGGTAGTGAACAGAAAGATATGTTCCATCTCTCTCTCTCNTCTCTCTCTCTCTCTCTCTCTCTCTCTCTCTCTCTCTCTCTCTCTCTCTCTCTCTCTCTCGCCTTAGGAGTAGTGGTAGGTAGTGAAAAGAAAGATATGTTCCATGATGACATGGCAGAACGCCAGTTGAAAACATGTGAGGTGAGAGAAAAATATATGGCTGTCCCCCGATGAGCAGAAGGCAGCTTTGTTTAGAATATATACATATATATCAAATTTCATTACAAATTAAAGCCCGGGTACCTCAACATTACTCCCGGATGAATCTTACTAGGAACATCATCATCCAGATTAGCGTACAGGATAAAGACTGTGCAGGTCTTTCTCTACAGACCTCGCAGCGCGTAGGCTGCCTCCTAAATTCATAGTCAGACATCACTCATCCTCCTCGTCATCGTCGCCATCATAATCATCAATTCCATCGACGCTACCACCATGAGCGAGTGCCATGTCATGGTATTATTAAACTGCCATCATTGCCACCATTATCATCATATCATCGACACTACAACCATGAGATAGTGCCATGTGATAACATAACAGCCATCACCAATTTCATTAGCATCACCATCGGCATTACCACCATCATCAGCATGATCATCGCTCAAGTCCACCATGGTGGTTATCACCACCACCTCCCAGGTTTCCACATCCATCATCATCTGGAAGCGTTCCCCATCAGCGAGAGCAACGTCATCACATATTCGCCATTATCCCCATCATCATCATCATCATCATCATCATCATCATCATCATCATCGATGCTAGCACCATTAACGAGTGCCGCGTCATCACAGAACTGTCATCAACGCCATCGTTATCATCATCAGCAGCAGCAGCAGCAGCATTATATTATGTCGTTGTTATCATCACCGTCCAGTTTTCCCTTCCATCATCATCATCATCAAAGCTTCCCTGATCAGCGAATGCCACGTCATCACATAATTGCCATCCTCGCCATTAACAATATCCTCTTCGTCATCATCGTCATCGACGCTACCGCCGTGAGAGACTGCCGCGTCATCCCTTACCAGCCATCGTCATCATCATAATCATCATCATCATCATCATCATCATCATCTTCATCATCATCATCATCATCATCATCATCTTGCTGCTGCTGGCTCTGCTCTCTGAAGCCATCCAGGATGGCTTTTGCCTCCTCGTAGGACCCCTCCTCCCAGGGCTTGATGCCGTACGACAGCATGAAGTGATGCTGGTGATCAAACCCTGCCTCTCTGATCATTGTGTAGTCGGACTTGTAGGGCTCTCCCGGGCCACAGCTCCCGTTGTTCTGACTGTGTGAGGAGCACTGATTGTTGTTGTTGTCGCCACTGCTGCTGCTGCCGCCCCCGGCCCTGCCCGATGAGGAGCTCGACTCGCCTGACATGTTGATCGTCTAGAAGTCCAGAGAGATGAACAACCGAAATCACAGCCCAGTTCCACTTCTCCTCGAACCGGCCAGCCTTTTTCTTGGGAGTAATTTTGGAAGAAGAACGAGCAACAGCGATAGACAGAAAAACTACGCTACTCAGCAACTAAACTACCGTCTTCACCCGAGTAGAAAGCCCGGTTATTATCCTTGCATCTGGACTGAATATGCCCCAAATACCGCTATATGGAACGGGCGTTATATTCGGGTAATCACGGTGGCCAACTGCTACGCAGGCAACAGGATCACTTCAAGCTGAAGACCAATGAACGTCACACAACATCACCAATGCAGACTGCAAGCATATACACCAGGGGAACGACGTGTCTCTGATCCTCTTTCACTGACTCTCAGACCTCGCCCGCTTCCTCCCCAGAGTGTGCGCACCTCTGTCACGCCGCAAACACCAGCATCGGCGCAAGCCAGCATACACCAGGCGCGTGTCCCTCGTCCTCTCAGACCTCACCCCCTTCCTCCCCACACCCGCATCTGCGTAAGCAGGTCCCGCTACGGCCGCTTGCGCCCACTGCCACCGCTGTGCCCTTCTCACCTCTCAGGGCCCACATGCACACTATCGTAGCCAGGCAGACCACAGCCAGCCTCCTCAACGCTACAGTGCAGCAGAATTTGCTTTGACTGGGCCGAGGCAGTTTCCTACCCTATATATATGGAAAGTGCAGCGCAAAAGTGCAGCACGGTGTCTGGCTGCCTGGGCCTCGAGTGGGTCTGCCGGGTTGCTTCACGTGGGGCCAAAGCGTCTGCGCCCAAGGCACATTCAGACAGACTGCTGGGCCCGCAGCAGTTGAGCTGCCCAACTGTGCTACATGGCTGCTGCTGCCACTCGCATTGGCCTGCGGGCCCCCAGTCGCTCAGTCGCTCACTCACTTCCCATTCGCCGAGAGCGTCGGGAGAGCATCTGGCGCGTGTCGAGATGTTGAAGGCTCTCTGTGTCCTCGGCGGATGTGGTGGGTTTTTTTTTTTCTTTTTTTTTCTGTTTCTCACATTCAAAGAGGAACTGGGTTATCGCCTGATTCTGGACGTGTCTATGGACATGTGCATAAAACTGTGATCGATTTGCTTTAAATTTCTGCATTTTGGTGGGAAAGACATCCAGGTTCGGCCGCTTTCTCCAACCGTCTTCGCTGGCAGGACTTCATATTGCTGTGCTGGTAGTAGTGCCGTGATCTGCCGAAGGTGCAGCCTTCCGCGGCGACCCGTTTCTCGTGTACATGGACACCATAGACGTTTCGAAACATTCTGAATGTAGTGTATGTGGTCCAGATAGTGGGCCTTTCTCCGCTCTCTAAATGTGCACAATGAGAGTGAATCTTTGGCTAGAACATGGGAAGATGCACCGCCATGTTTTTTGTCTTTTTTTTTTTTTTTTTTTTCCAGATGGAATTTTATTTCGAACGGGCCCGGTGCCCAAGGCTTACATCAACATAGCAGAGAATAAGGTGAAAATAGTAGAGGGCAACTGGCCTCGGGTGCACTCCCCATCCGGAGCCATCCCTCTGTAGAAAACCAGAAAAAAAAAACACTTCTCAACAAACTAATTCCTAATACTACCTAAATGCGGTAAAAACTCAAAAAAACGGCACACAAACACCCAAAATCATATCACGAAAAACCTATGGCAAACACAACCACCAAGCCCCACAGCTAAAACCTAAAACGAAGGAAAACCTGTAGAAAGCCACAAAACAAAAACGCTACTCAACAATAGAATCCGTAATACTACTTAGATACCATAAAGACTCAAAAAACAACAGAAACACCAGAGTTCATATCACCAAAGCGTCATCGAGCAAAACCAAAAACTATCGAGACCGTTCCCAAAACCATCGTCCCAAAAACACCTGAAACCCATGGAAAAACAAAAACCTACCGACTAAAGAGAAACAACAAGCCAATCCTAAAGCCAAAAAACAACTCAATCTCAAAGACTAAACGTGGACAACCAAGAAACCCAGAGCTACCGTACCACCAACAAGCCAATCTTAAAACTAAAAAAACTCAATCTCCGAGACCAATCGTGAACAATCAAGAAACCGAAACCTACCGTACCACCCACGAAGACATCGGGCCAGCGTCTCGCACGTAATTAGCTCCATTTGCACTGTTTCGCCGAATAACTCCGACTCTCTTGCCAAAACTACCAATACTCACCAGTCGATGTGAACGACCAGAGATAAACGCTCAGGAAAATAGCGCACAGGCCCACTCTCTTTCAAACTAGGGAACAAGCCCGCACAGGCCAGGCCCGCTCTCTTTCAAAGTAGGGAACAAGCCCGCCACTTTAAGCTCCAACCGCTCACGGGATCGAAACCCATAAAATGCCTCTAAGCAAATCCACTCATAACGCTCTCACAAACCATGGATCCCACAGAGGGAAACCCAAACAAAAACACTCGGAATCATCTACAACACAACCTGAGAGCCTGTAATGCCAGAACCGCTCCTACCGAAAACGACAACCCCCTAAAACGGGCGTAAATCAGACCCCAGGGCAAAACGGCTTGTTTTTTTTTTTTTTTTTCCTTCTTACTCTGAGAAAACGGTTAGCACAAGTGGAGGAAGGGAAAAAAAGGGGGTGTAACCAAAGGGCTCAGTTGGTACACTCCCGAAGTGTCGAAATATAGACTCAAGTTCGAATCCAGCTCAGTTGGTACACCTCTGAACTGTTGAAATACAAACTCAAGTTCGAATGGAGATACCTTCAGATGAAAGGAATAAGATCTTTCTGAATGCCTAGGGCCAGTCAGTTCATTGATGATGTCTAAAGGCCGTCGCCCTTGTTGCCTGGGGCCGGTTAGTTCATTGATGATGGTTTAGGGTTTAGGGTTTAGGGTTATTGCTTGGGGCCGGTCAGTTCATTGATGATGTCTAAAGGCCGTTGCCCTTTTTGTGGGGGGGGGGAAAGGGTTGCGGGAGCACGTCAATTTTGCACGGATTTGCATGGGTTCTGCAATTCTTTTGTGAGGTCTTGCAAACAAAGAGGAGTTAGGTTTATTGCCTGAGGGCATACTCATGCTGGGAATTTTTGACTTATTTCACGACGGAATTGCGGGCACACGCATCCAGGTGTGGCCGTCAGTCGGATCCATTTAAGATCGTGCTAGTGTGAGTACGCCCTGATTCTGGACACGTTTATGAACAGGTGCATGAAATCGATATGCTTTTCTGCATTTTTGGTGAAGGGACATCCAGGTTCAGGTGCTTTCTGCAATGAGAAAACAGTCGGTAAAATCGGAGGAAGGGAGAAAAGGGAGAAGAATGAGGGAGAAAACAGAGCGGCTGGAAGTGCTGATGGGGGCTGAAGGTTCAGTCACCTGTGCTCATCTATGTGTTTTTGTATTCAAAGTTTTTCAAGCATGGATCTACATGCCTCACTCCTACGCGCCTTCACTGCTACCGGATTCACGTTCACACTATGGGCTGCCCGCGTCCTCGCGGTATGTCAGTCAGCCCAGGGGCACTCCACACGCTGTGCTCACACAGGTGTGGCCCTGTAACCAACTGGCGCGTGGGAACTGTCTGCTGCCCCATATTGCAGAAATCACAATCATAGGCCGCGTGTCAAAATGCAGGCCCACCTTCACTTAGGACGGGCACGAGGCATGCCGGGGCCCCCTTAGGTCGCCGGGTGGCTCGGCCTAAAGGCTACTGCGAGCGCTCATTCCTCACAATTATTTTAGCAGCTATCAAGAGATTCTTTGTGGCTGGTAAGAAGCCAGGTGAAAAAAATACATCTTCGACATCAACATCAACATAACTATTAAATTGTGAGGCGGGCCTCCGACGACGGTGCCAACGGGCCCAAGGAAAAAAAATTCCCGCGGCGTGGGTTCCAGGCCACTGAGTTTTTAATTGTCAGGGCGAGGGCTCGAACCCCATGGTCGACTGCGTGGGTTTTCGGAGTTCAGTGCGCGGTGGTTGGGTGGTTCCCGGTTTCGCGAACCAAACGACCTGAAAGGGCAGGACTTCATCGGCTATATACATAGTGGCAGGTGCAATGGGCAAAGAACGCCGGGACAATGATTGTGCGTGTTTTTTCTGCAGGCTGCACACATTGTCGCTTGTCTACGTCATTGTCTTTCTTCTTCGACAACCGCCTGTTCGTCATTCGAAGTAGAGCTGCATATCGATTATAGACGTGCCAAAGTGGAGAAAAGCGGAGAGTATGAGAGAGAGAGAGAGAGAGAGAGAGAGAGACCGTCCATCGGCAACACCATTGCTCGCTCGTCGTTCTTTTTCGATAACATTTTGCTCATGATTCGGAAGTTGCATGCCAATCATCGACCTGCTAGAAAGAAAGCGAGAGGGGCATGTCCTCGAGGAGAAACAGACAAATTTCGGAGGGACGAAGAACATGATAATGATGTTGTGAAAAGCCTACGGGTCTGTCAATCTCGTGACTTGCATCTCAAGATCATCCTCTGCTTGGTGAACGGCGAAGATACTTCGCTACCATGGCGTCCAACAACCATCGTGAAGACTTCATGACGCAGCGGAACCCTACGAATGAAGGCTAGTATGTATTTTTTATCCTCCTATTTGTTTTCTCTTCTCTTCGTTCGCGCGGTGTTCTACTCCTTGAAGTGTCCACTGATTTGATAGTTCATGATCATCGGTATTGTCGTTCTTCAAGAGTCCACTCATTTGAGAGCTTATCAACTTTTCTCTATCCCGATCTCGATTATTATCGTCATGCTTACATCGATGTTGATCACCAATCCAGTGGATCATTGCCGTTTACGTATCTTCATGCCGCTTATTAGCATCATGATGACGCTTACGTTGCTCTAGATCACCAATCCGAATGACAAGAAGAGAGAGAGAGAGGGGGGAGGGGGTACATGTCGTACGTTTGCTACTTGCCACCCAGATCGATGATCTGCATGGATGGAAGCGCGTTCAGGATATGGGAGAGGGAATTGATAGATTGATCGAGCAGGTGTAAACTCGGTTGATAAATGAATCCATCCCTGTTAGTCTGACTGCCACGTCAGCATGCCACAAAAAGAAAGTGGCGTGGCAATCAGCGGGATAGATTCATTGGTTGATTGAGTTTGCACCTCCTGGATCAATCTATCAATTCGTCAATGTCGGTTGCTGCCACGTCACCTATCAATCAATCAAACACGCGCCTTGAGAGAGCACTACCTCCTCTGTCCTATTCAATCTCTCGTGACATCCCGACTCCTTCAATCACTCACTTCATTCTCTCTCTCTCTCTCTCTCTCTCTCTCTCTC